GTGCCATGAATAGGATTTTTGGTGCCGGCCCCCGGCTTGGCCCATTTGCACTAACCCCCCCCTCCCAACAGCCACAATGCAGCAATTTTTATCTGCAACAGCTCTTCCCCACTATTGGTGGTGTGCCGGGGTGCTTTCCTGCAGATGCAGCCTTGGGGACGCCTGCTCCCCCAGCCCCTCTGCAGCTCTCCCCATTGGGGGCCCCGCAGGGAGCCGTGGAAGCAGGGTGGGGGGAGCGTAGGAGCTTCGCATGGTGAGGACAGAGCGAACAGCTCCCTGAATCTGCTCTCCCGCAGCTTGGAGGAAGGCAGAGAGCAACGGGGCCTCAGCATCTCTCGCAGGGCCGGGGCTCCGCTCAGGACAGCTCGTCAGGGCCTTCTTCCCCCCGGCTTTGCTCGGGATTTGGAGACTCTCTCTCAGCCCCTTCCACGGTCCCTCCACGGTGCGCTGTCCCAGCCCCTGCCCTAGGGAGCTAACTTCCCCTCTGGCCACGGGGCCCCCAGCGTCCAAGCTTGGCTGAGCCCCCCCACAGCGCTTGGGAGTCAGTCTGTGACCGCGGGCGGGGCTGTGGGGGGAAGGCTGCGCCCTTCGGCATGCAGCGACACCTCCCGCATCGCTTCCTAGGCCCCGAGGTCCAGCATCCCCGTCACGCAGACGGGGGGCACCGCCGGGGCAGGCACAGAAGCCAGGCCTCCGGACCCCCAGCTGTGTTCTCCCGCTGCCGAGCACCCCACCCCGAAGGCGGCTTACCCGCTGCCCTGATTGCCCAGGGGACCGGCCGCAGCAGGGCCCACGGTGCCTTTCTCCTCCCCTGGCAGGGGCAGAGCACTCGGATTCAATGCCACCCAACGGCCTTAATGCGCCTGCCGCTCCGGCAGCTCAGCTTAGCCACGTGTGTGTGTTGGGGGGGGTTGGTCTCCGCTCCACAGCGGCATGTTGCTGGCAGCTCCTGAGGGACCCAGGGTGACCTAGAGACCCAAAGCCACCTGCTCTGTGCGGACAGGCCGCTTGC